CCCCCCCCGGCACTCGTGTTGTGACCTAGCAGACTACTACACGTGCGGTGGACCAACCAAATGACAGCATACAACAGTAGACTGCTGTGTGACTACATGTACAGTAGCATACAACGGCTCGCACGTACAACCACGCATCCTAGGCACACACATTCACAGGTACTGCTGCTGCTGGTGCACACGTTTGTATCTTACAGAGCTGTGTGCTTCCGTTAGGAACCGCAGAGCAGCGTCGATCTACCCTCTCCTCCACCCATGGGCATCAACAGGTACAACCACACAACATAGGCGCACACGTTACAGAAGGCAACGTCATCACACCACCAGTTAGTTGCTGCACGTATCTCTCTCTGTCTCTCTTTGTGCTTGAATTCACGTTCCTGCTGGGGCACGGAACAGCTACAGACCCTGTATCTTCAAATTCATAAACCAGGGGAGGGGGAGGTCGCGACACCTCCGGACATATATCTCGTTCAGCCTCACTTCTTTGTACCCTGGGCTGCGGGAGGCGCGTCCCCGGAAAACCAAAACGCCAAACTACTTCACACCACACAGCAGGCACAGCACGTGCATAGAAGCACAGCAGGCAACCCATCTGATGCTGCTGGGCTGCATGTCTGCTACTGTAACCAACGCAGACGGTTGCAATGCCATGAGCTATACAGCAGTACCACGGGGTTGCCTGCGCAGCAACCACTGTATTACGTTCGTAGCAGCTCTCTACTGCTGCTGTGCTTCTTCTTGGTACGAACCGCAGTAGATAGAGCAGCGTCGATGTACAACCCTCTCCTCCAAGCGTGTGCATCAACAGGTACAACCACACATCATGCGCGCACGTATAACATACTGAATCGTCATCACAGCAGTTGCTGCACGTCTCTCTTGGCTCGTACTCTCTGCTCTACTGCTGTCTCTCTGTCTCGTGCTCGAATCCACCCAGCCTCTCTCGACTGCTGAAAATTGCTGGCAAGTTCCTGCTGGGGCACGGAACGGCTGCATACCCTGCATCTACAAATTCTTAAAACAGGGGGGGGGGGGGGGTCGCGACACCTCCGGACATATATCTCGGTCAGGCTGACTCTTATGGCTCCCGAAAGTTGGCCCGACGGATTTTTTCACTACCACCGACCGCGCTAGCGAGCGACCAATGAAGAGAGGCCGCGTCTACGCGGATCAAACAAACATTGCAAGGACTCTTTGAAAGTGCTTGGAGTGTGTATGTACCCTCTCGCTATCTCATCTGTAGTCCGAGGGTTTTCCGACACGGTCATCTCTGAGGACTTCCCCAGTCTTTCAAACGGTACTACGTACTGTGCACCATTGGGAGGCTCGGTCGTCAGAGCCTGCTACTATACTGTACAGTATCGTTCCGGTTGGTGGTGTTCGAAGGGAGATACGTATGTTTAAGTACAGTAGCAGAGACAAGTTAAGACAACGCTCAAGGCGTTGTGCCGGGCGGAACGTGTCGTACAAGGGAAAGTTTGCCTCCGTAGGCCACAGAAAAAAATGTTCAAGGCTGTCGGAAACAAAAACAGCGCAAAATAAATTGCGTATTTCTGAATTATGAGTGTGTGAATGTGTCCTCGCTCTTCTCACCTGCACTCGAAGGAATTCTGACTTTGCCTCCTCCAGAGAGCTCTCCAGTTGCCGGGAGTCCTCACGCCCGCGCTCGAGGTCCACTGTCAGTGCGTTGCAGCGGTCTACCGCCGCGCGCGACCTCACCCTCACCAGCTCGAGCGACTCGTTCAACTCCTTGACCTCCGCGGCCTTTTGCAGGCAGCCGTGGCAGCGGTGCCCTCCGCTGGTAGATGAGCGGGCTTGGGCCTCGCTCTGCCGCCCTTGGATCTCTCTTCCGCTGCTCGCCTGTTGACCCTCCAGCCTTTCGCGACATGTCTGGCATGGAAATACAGAAACGAAGTATGCATACAAAGGTACAGGAGGCGACGCCGAAACGAGGTTTGGCACAGTTGGAGAGGTTCTGCTTGGTTCAGATTCCACATGGAGAATAGAGTGACTTGTGGAGTATGTTGGGGGCTCCACCGTAAAATATGTAGTGGCCGTGATTTCGTTCTCAGAGCGTTCTATTTACATTCCACGGCGGTGTTGCACATTGCATTCGTGATGTAGCCCGTCGTGTAGTGAGCAGAAACGTGTACTGCGGGAACGTGCTGCCTTGACGCCTGAACGGATCATTCGGTAGGCCTTTGACGATGTAAATAGTGTAACTAATGTAGCACCCAGGTCGGGTTCAGCTCTCGCTGCGGTAGTGAGAGGCGCACGCACCTAAGGTAGGTATTTTGCGGCACTGCCTACATGTAGGTGTTGTGATTACCACACAACGTGTGCAGATCGCGCACATGGGAGCCATGGTAGAGCCATGGTAAAGTAGCCCCATCAACGGCTGTGGTGGTATCTACAGCCTCTTGTGGCTGGGTTGGTGGTGCACGCTGTAGGCTACGTGTTGAGACCAAGTAACCGTGTGTCGTGTGCAACACGACAACACGCAAAAATTGCCCACGAATGGTGGGAGATGGCATGTACATACAGCAGTACACTTAGAACACGTGATGACACAAATCAAGTGACACCTGGTCAGGGTTGTACAGCAGGAGAAAGAAATAAACTCGCCTTTGTCCGAAAAACGTGGTCTTCCGAGGCGGCGGAAGGGCCGGAGAATGCACCAGGCCATATAGAAGACTGGAATCTCGACAGTCGTTGTTGTTGCTCTCGGTCGTGGCGGTGGTCCTGGCGATGGCAGTGCACGTGCTGCTGCTGCTGCTGCTGCTGCTGCTGCTGCCAGTGCTGGTCCTCCCCGGTGCGTTCGGCAGCACCGCTGGCCAATGGTACGTTGACCGAATACGCCCCAACACTGCGGTGCAACAACGCCGTCCTCTGCTCCCGTGCTGCAGTTGCGGTGGCTGCGGAGGCAGGCGTAGGGAGCTCGTTCCGCGAAATGGCGGTCGGATCGCCGGCGACAAGAGGTCTCTGCGAAACATGATTCGGCAGGCTGGGAGTTACTTAGTGTGGGGTATACGCAGAAGCAAGGCAGCGCGCCAGATGTGCGAAACTGACATGTGGCGAGCAGGTGGTCAGGTGGTCAGGTGGTGGCAGGTGGCAGCGAGCAAAATATGCGGCGGGTTTGCTGCCGTTTCGGCAGATAATGCTTTTATTTACCCGCACAAATTCGCACAATCGCGCAATCGTACGACGTGTACGACCAACGACCAACACAACAACAGCACCTTTGTTGCCTGCTCGCCCGCTTCCCCTCTGTCTGTCTGTGTCTGTCTGTCTGCTGTCTCTGCCTCTGCCTCTGTCTCTGCCTCTGTCTCTGCCTCTCTCTCTCTCTGCCTCTCTGTCTGTCTGTCTGTTTGTCTGTCTGTCTGTATGTCTCTCTCTCTCTCCCTCTCCCTCTCTCTCTCTCTCTCTCTCTCCCTCTCTCTCTCTCTCTCTCTCTCTCTCTCTCTCTCTCTCTCTCTCCCTCTCCCTCTCCCTCTCCCTCTCCCTCTCCCTCTCCCTCTCCCTCTCCCTCTCCCTCTCCCTCTCCCTCTCTCTCGCTCCTCTCGCTTTCCGCGCGTGCTCGTGTTCCTCTATGGAAGAGGCAGAGTTGATACAAGAGAGCTTGGGTCAATATTTTGTCGTGCTGCACACAGAGTTCGGTAGTGTTATGCAGCAGCATAGTTTCCAATTCTGCTACATGGACTATTGACATGTAGAACACTACAATATGTAGGCTAGTCCAGTCTGTTATACGTTTGGCGTTGGTGATGCCAGAAATTCACCTCAGAAACGCCATATCGGGTTAATTGGGAAAAATCCAATCAACGAACCTGAAATCGAGGGCTGCATTTGAACATGGTCACCACTGCTTGCTGTGGCCTTGCGACGTATACCACGCCCCATCACACTGACTGGAGAAAAACTGTTCATAAGAAACAACCAATAATGCGGTAGTCCCAAAATAAGGGACGGGCTTCGTACAGAACTACATGCTGGCGTTGGGTGTGGTTTGGCAGACCGTCATGACGACTTTCCCACGGATGCAAGCAAGAGAACAAGGCCGTGGTACCTCCTTCAAATACCCGAGATGAGCAGAGAGTGAACAACAAGGCGATCAACGCTGACACCGTAGAATGCGACAGCACGGCGGGCCCATCCAATCTTGATGCCACTGGCCAATCTTGTGTCCGCCCCCGTGCCACTGGTGCACCGTCCCTGTGTCGCACGTTCCTTCTTTTTGTCAACGATGCGCGCTTCTTCGCTCACCTGTGGAAACGCTGAACTAGCCATCTCGTACAGACGTGCCGCGCTTCGCGTAGCAACGTTCTGTTGGCGATGGCTTGTGACGACCAACCTCCACGGGGTAAGAAACGGTGCCTCTGGTGTCGCTGTGGTTGTGGTTGTGGTTATGGTTGTGGTTGGTTGTGGTTGGTGGTGGTTGTTGTTGTTCTTGGTGGTGGTGGTGGTGGTTTTGTGAATTGGGTCTGTCTGAGGGTGGTGTCACAGCGGTGATCGGCACAACTATTTCGCTCTTTAGTCTGGCGTGAAATTAAGAACAGTGATTTCAGCTCTTGATTACAAAAATTTGGATCTACGGGGATGAACAGCGACACACTGTCTGATCCGTATTCCATGCAGCACGTACACAGTTCTCGCCGTTCTCCTTTACCCTTTGCATGGGCAGACCTGAAGCTTTCGTCAAACCTTCTCGTTCAAACTTGCACGAACGTGCTAGAGGGTTGGCTTCGTCGGGCATCCAGCGATGAGAGCGATGGACCCGGGAAAGACTGACCTCTACGATGAGTATCACAGTTGATGGCGGATTTGTGTGGAAAGTGTGACTCCTCTGCTGAGTAGACTGATGCATGATATCAAATTTCTCTCTCCCGTAGCACCGATGATATCTCGGCACCGACGGTTAGGTCCAATCGCCCCAAACCATGCGTTATCTCGGTTCAGCTTTCAGCAGCCACACCGACAACAGGAGGATAAACGCCACCGTCGACAACAACATTTGTTATCCATCTTGAAGAGGAAACGGAAGAAGGCGTTCTGGACAGAGGTTCGAACCGATAATTTATGAAATTGTTTGACGTCGTCAACAAACTATATCAACGAGGACAACTGCATGTCCCAGATATCTCGTCTCATTGCGCTCCCGCTGGACCAGACCATCATTGCTGGCCTGAAGATGACCCAGAGTTCTAAATACATGTATCAAGGTGAACATCTAGGGAAATTCGCCCTATTCCTTACATGAGCCAAGTCCAGCATAGTCCCAGCGTATACTTGGGTCAAAGCCGGACAAAAACATATCTGCGTCTATACACAATTATGTTCCCTCTACTTTGAATTTTTCAATAAACACGCACGGGAACAACACCACACACTAGTATGACTACTCTGGATTTTTCAACAAACACGCACGGGAACAACACGGAACACTAGTATGAGCACGGTCTCTAGACACACGTGCCGGGGTGGGGAAAACAAGCGGTGTGTACATATGGCCTCTCGTTACGCCGGAACAACAGAGGTTCAAATATCCCCAGGAAAACGTAGAAGCCGAGTACCAAATGTTTATGTGCTATTGTCGCGTACGGTAGAGGCAGATGAACCGGGTGATACTACAACTGTCCGGTGCAACATTTTCCTGGGCGAGCTCGCCGACAGAGAGGTCTTCTCCCCTGCCGGGGCCTTGGGCGACTGCGGGTCAGCGGAAGCGCGAATACCACGACTACCAACGATATCGGTTTCGCGACCCGTCCCAACAACAGCAACTCCACTGCCACTGTAGCTTACACTATCTCCGCCACGCGCCTCGTCCGTTCTCAGGCTGTCTCTGCAGTCACGCCAGAAGAGGGCTTCGCTCTTGGATTGGTCGGCGGCGGCCCCGGCAGCGGCGACGGCGGCCATTGCAGCAGCGGTGACGGCGGTGGCGGCGGTGGCGGCGGTGGCGGCGGTGGCGGCGGTGGCGGCGGCGGAAAGGTTTATGTCGTCTTGTGAACTTGGACCCGAAACACTCTCGTGCTTGCGGGACACCAGCGGTGAGCCTCGTGCGGAGGATGCCGGTGCCGATGCAAGGTATGTTGTTCGTAGTCCTCGTCCCGCTTCTGCTCTTCCTCCCCCATCTCCCCCCCTCCCCAACACCATGCACACTGCTTCGGGTGAGGTGCCGACGGCAGAGCGACTGCGTCGATTTCGTCCGGCTCCTCTTGCCTCGGCGGTGGAAGATTGGTGGGTCAGGCCCCTCACAAGGTTGCCGTTGTGCCGCTTCTCTACCGCGCCAGTGAGCGACAACCCCTCCCCGACCCCTCCTTCGCGGCTCCCGCCGGGCCCAGACGACATTGAGAGTATACACAGCAGGCTTCCTGATCCCCGTTCGTCTCTGCCCCCCCGCCCGTTTTCCAGACGAGGTGAGCACCATCTATTTCTTCTGAGCTGCACGCGGGGTCCCCTCATGTTCGCACTGAGAGCAGTCCCTGCTTCGTTGGAGGCTCTCGATTCTCCAGCACTCGTCGCTGCGCGCGACTGCACGAGCTCGGCCTGTCTTGCGGTCAGACCGTCGGCGCCGTTGCCATTGCTGTCGTTGCCACCTCCAATTCCCATCCTTTCTTGTTCTGCTGCCGTTCGGGCTCTTGGTTGTCTCCGATCCAGCTCCAGCGCCAGGTCCTCTGTTCGCAGCCCGTTTCGTACGTCACGTTGAAGATGATACATTCGGTCGTGTCGCAGATCGTATCGTAGACACCTGGCTTCTGCAGGAGCCGGCATGATGTCGTTGTGATCGCTCGCGTCGAGGGGTGCCGAAGCCGCGACAATCGCGTTGCTCGTGTGTGGGACGTTGATGATTCGCGCGAACGTTCCACTCCTGAGCCGCTTCCTCGAGGCGAATGGGCCGGGGGAGCGTCTGTCGTCGTCGCTGCTACGAATGGCGGCCGGAGAAAGAGCCGTTTTCTCGACGGCTACGCCCGTGGTGGCCGCTGCAGCGTCGAGAGAGGACACGGTTTGCACTTGCAGACTGGCAACGACGGCGTCTACACTATCAAGAGCACGAGCCGCGGTTGTCCTTGTGGCCCCATCCGATCTTGAGAGCTGTGGTTGTGACTGTGCTGAATAAGGTGGCGCCACTCGGCAAGGAACCAGGGCTGCCGGCGTACTGCCGCTTGGCGGGGGGTCACCGTGAGGGCCATGGACGCCTTGGTCTCCATGAACTTTCAGTCTATCATTGCGCCTAGGGTAGACTGCTCCTGTCAGTTGTAGTCGCTGCTGCTGCTGCTGATACTGGGGTTCTCGTCGAATATTCCCTTGGTTTTCACCATCTTCCTCCGTGAGGTTGTTCCCCGTCCTGCTGGCCTCCGCGCTGACTCCTGGCACCTCCAATTTATCGATTGGTGCCACCGGCCATCGTGAATCCGTGGAAATCGACAGAACAGCTTTCAACAAGCCATCCTTAATAACGCTTGCCACGAACTTCCCGACAGCAGAACACAAATGCCCCCTCACCGTTGATTCGTCTAACGCGCCCCCAAAACTCGATGCCCGTCTTTCCTTGTCTTCGTCGATGGTTGGCGGGGTAATGGCAGTCATCGGTGCCATTGGCACTGTTATTTCTGTCCTTGAATTGTCGGAGGTATGCTTGTCGCTGCTCTTTTGTTCCTGCTGTTCCCATACCCCAGTACTGTTGGTGGCGAGTAGTCTTTTGCATGCTGCGGCTGCCAATCGACGGTTTTCATCAGGTTCACGTCCATCGCACGGTGCCGAGAGGGTTTGGGCGTGACGCGCGACAGTACGGGCGGCAGCGCTCAGGATGCAACTTATCCATGAGGATACCACGCTCAAACGTACGCCCTCATCGGGTGACATTTCTTCCGCAGCAGCAGGAGCGTGGTCCGACACGGTGGCAGGGGCTGCTGCAGAGCATGAAGGCTGTGGTGTCAGCTCATCTCTCATAACTCCACATTCTCCGGGAGTAGTTCTGTCTTCGTCTGGCGCGCTACCTTCCACAGAGCATTGCGATGAGTATGATAGCCCCGACATCTGCCCTTCTCGCTCGTCAGCAGCGAAAATAGCACCACTCCAAATAAAACCGTCGTCGCTGCTCTCCTTCCGCAGCTGCTGCTGATGCACGCACTGGTTGCGGCCACCAACGGGCCCAGCCCCTGTCTTCGCTGGGCCTTGGATCGTCATCGCTGTCTGCTGGTCCGCGTGACGGACAAACGAGCCCAACAATTTGAGGTGTTTGTTGTGGAGGAGTGAATCATTGGGAAAAAAACGATCTTCAGGAAGCAAAAGCTCCGGCGGTATAGCCCTCAATGATGCTTCGCTGCAGGTAGAGAACAAAGCTGTTGGCAGCCAACCGTGAATGTGTATTCCGTCGCTACAGTCGTTATCCGCCATCATGATGGCGCGGTTGTTGGAACAAGGGTGGCGATCCACAGGCGTCGCTGCCACTGCCGCTGAAGCAGGCCCAGCCGACCTGGGCAAGCGGCAGCGGCGGCGGTGAGGGCTGGCGATGTCAGCTCCTCCTCCTCCTCGGTCGGATTTCCTCCCAGCGGTGCTAACGGAACGTCCTTTTGTTTCTGCACTTCCTCTGCCCCCTCCTCTGCTAAAAGATGCATTTCTGCCGCCGGTCCATAGAGCCCGATCATCGTTGTGACTGCTGCCGCTGACGGTACCCGTGCCACTTCTTCGGTGGCGAGGGCAAGACAAGAAGCAGATGCGTGCACGGGGGAACGTGTATGTCGGATGGATGGACAAGGTGTTACAGTAGCTCTCTTCGGTTGGGTTTATGAGGGTCAGGAGGCAAACAGCCTATTTGAGCTGGTGTTACATAGTACTGCTGACGATCGGATGCGCTGTACATGGGTACAATTGTATGTACTGTCTTGGACAGAAATTTGAAAGTTCGGGCCCGAGTCGTACTGCTGTACCAGGCAGTCAGTCTACACTACAGTTACAAACTGTAATGCTGTGTACATAACAGGTACAATGTAGATGGTCGACCAATGACACATACTGGAAATAGGCAACAGAAGGTGTTGTAGCAACTAGCAAGAGGGTCATTCCTGGTGACAGTGAGACCGTAAAAGAAAGGTATCGTGAACACGGGGGTACGTACAGCGTAGACAGCAGCAGTAGACTTCAGTACAAGTTGTCGTAGTCCTGTAGCTGCAGCATTGTCGAAGGTCAGGCCCTCACCTTCGCATCATTGGTGCTACTGCTTCACATTGAGAAACCCAGGCTCTGTTGCGAGGTGGGACCGACTGAAATCTCCTCCCAATACATGTGAC